TGTAATGTGATGTAGAACTGGGATCCGTTGGTGTGGCGTCCTTTGTTGACCATTCCAAGAACTCCTCTCTTATCATGGGGAACTGCAAAATTTTCATCTAAAATAGTATAGTAAGCAGTATATAGGTGTGCATGTGTGGATATACCTACATATAAATATACAAATATCAAGGCTGATTGAACTGTCTTTATCCCCAGTGCATTAATTTGCCTCTGTGGGCTATAGCACAAATTAAGAAGTCTTGGTTAGTCAATCCAAAGGTCATTTTCTAATCTTTCCGGCTCTTGCAAAACAGGCGGGGAGGCTGTTGCTTCCCTTTTAATCACCCTCTTTCCCTGGTCCATGATATAGTCAGCACCATAATACATAGTCCTACTTGTTTCTGCCTATGGTTTTACTCCCCCATTGGAGTTAGAGTGCATGTAGACATACCTTGTTTCTGCAGAGCATCTCTGGGATTTCTTGATTATGGGCAGCTGAAGGAGCAGTTTACCTCTCAGGTGACATGGATTGAATCATCTATGGCAGCGGTTCTCAATCTATGGGTCACGACCCCATTTGGGGTCGATCGACCATTTCACGGGGGTCGCCAAGCAAGGCTGTCTGCCAATTTTTTTCCCCTTTTCCGGCGGGTGCCTTACCTCCCTTGAGCTGGGCCAGCTGGTGGTTGGCCTGCTCCGTCTCTGCCGCTTGCCAGCTACGCCTCAGCTGGCGCAGGGGGCGGAACCACGCATGCGTGGCGCTCCCGGGCAGGGAAAGTCCTCGACTTACGACCAGTTGGGTAGTCCTCGACTTACGACCGGTTTAGTCCTCGACTTATGACCGGTTGGGGGTCGCGGCATTAAAAAGGTTGAGAACCACTGATCTATGGGGAGTTGGTTTGGCCCTAAACAGACCTGCTTAGGGCTAAAACCAGTTTCTCTTTATTCTCTCCCTGGCTCCTTGCAAATAAGGCTATAGTGTAAGCACAGTTCTCTACGGCCCGCTAATTTACTTTTTCCAGTGTTATATTGGCTTGTCTACTTGCTTTAGTTCATTGTAATATCTATAACGCAACCAGAAAAAAGTATTGATCATTCCCAGTTTTAGACAGAAAGCTGAGGAATACCTATTATGTACAATTCACAAATCCACCTCAAAATGGAGCTCCCCACTATTCCATACCATGACAATGAGTTGCTCTGTAGTTCCTAGGAATAATATATTGGTCTCCATGCTTATCAATCTCTTTTATAGCTTCACTTATGATGATGATGATGGCCAAAAATCAAACACTTTGTGAACAATCGAGAATTTAGAATGTATGATTTCTACACTGTTTTTGAATCTCTTCAGCTCCAGTCTGACCCTTTTTATGAGGAAGTGAAAGTGGAAAGTGGGACTTGTAATACAGATGGTTGGCATTTGCATTACACTGATTAAAGTAAGACCTTCAATGTCTCGTTCACATTATTTTTACACTATTTCTTTCCATTCTGTTTCTCTTCGAAGATTATTTTTTACATTTATGATATAATCACTGGCCTATAATATTTCTGAAGCCTGCTATTTATGTAGGACCAGTGTAGTTTAAGAAAATACTTCCACCTTCAAAGACGGGTCCATGTATCGATTCACCTCCATTTCCTCTTCCACCATTTATATCTATGTACATTATGAAAAGAAAAAATGATACATTATCTTTTTGTATCAGAAAACAGCACAGAATTTTAAATGACATATATAATTTTATGATTTTGTAATTTTTGTCTTTAAGCAAAAGAAGGAAAAATGTTAGAAAAAGACAAAGGAAAAAGCAAAAGCACAAAATTATATATAAATGAATATTTTATAGATTATCTGTGGGTGATTACAATGGTTCTTTTTTTTACTAAAACTGTCGTCTAGAACTTTTCATACATATTTATGCTTGAGAAGCCCTTATATATTTCATGATATTGGGAAGAGTGCTATATTAGTTTAATGGTTATTATTAATAGATCTTGGGAACTAATAATATTACAGTTGTTGCTGAAATATGGTACATGTCTCAACATCCAGGATTGGTCATGTTTGCTTGGGTTCCTGGGAAACATAATTCAGCAGCAGTCAGAGGACCACAAGTGCCCATATTTTGTTGTAACAGAAAGCATAATACATCTTTATGTCAAATACAAAATGACTATTCTAGGTTTAGGCTTGGTTCTATCTGAATAAAAGGCTTCCATCCAAATAAATTTATATAAATTTAAATTTTGTGTAAAAATTCCTCCATATTTTATTTTTCTCCCATGCTTTTTTTATTTACAGACATATGAACAGTGGTGGGATTCAGCTGGTTTGTACCAGTTCGGTAGAACTGGTAGCTAATTTTTTGTTGCCCAGGCCCAGAATGGACTTCTGGAAGTAGCATCCACACAGAGAACCGGTTATTCACAAATTTAAATCCCACCACTGCATATGATTATCTAAAAGTATAATTCTTATCTAAAGGTTTGGTTTTATTCTGGTGATGGGGAGGAAGACCAGTCTCACATGCTGGGGAGTATACCAATCATGAGCCATACTTCACTCTATGAGCAGATTTCAGTACTTACCTCCTCCTTGTATCCAGCCATTTTTTACAATTCGATGAAAAATTGAATCCTTGTAAGTGAGTGCCAATCCAGACTCAGAGTCCCCTTTCTCTCCTGTACATAAACACTTGAAATTATGGCATGTTCTGGGGCAAATGTCAGAATAGAGCTGGACAATAGAAGAAGAATATGGAACATTTCAGAAGCTCAGTTCCTG